AAGAATTGTGCTCAACTACCCAGGCATATTTTACGACTTATGTTACGTTACTGGCTAGAACAAAAGAGCAAAACGTAAGAATAAGTATAAAATTTAGAACTGTCCATCTCCAATCTTCATTTTGGTAACTCAGGGCTATAATACTTTGAAAATTACAAAAAATCCCTTCTTAAATAAATTGAGCCCCACTTTCGCTGAATGCATGCACATATAAGAAGTAAATTTTTCCAAAAATTATAATCATATCCAAATCGAGCAAACTGACCAGTCAAAATCAAGTCTCCTACGGTCATATTTAGAATAAAAAGGTGCATTGTATCTCCACTTCTCTTGAAAAGTTTGACAGCACAAAATATAACCATAACATTGAAAACAGTTGCTGCCATACTAGCTGCCAGTAGAAGATCATCGGTCTGAAAAACGAATGTCAAAAAACGTATTATTTTCTCATGAGCTTTGAGTTTCCTCTTCCTTTCTTGATTCCGAGCGCTGAAGAGAACCTTGAATTTTACTTTTGGAGATAATTTTGTCTAACATATAAAACGATAAGCCCATACTCATCAATAAGTGAATAAGGGATAAGTTTTGTTTTCCACAATAATCCCACCCATCGAATAAAATAATAGCTTCCTATTCCAATGGTAGTATGCATGATACGCGTCTAGAATGTGAAGAATAATGGTTTTAACTAAATGGCTCTCAAGCAATTAATGCATACATAGTACCTAAAAAACACGATATCAGCAGTCGCTCATACTAGCAATTTTAATAGCACAATCCCTAAGCTGAGAAGTAATGGCCCCTATGCAGAGTTTTTACGAAAAGCGCCTATACAAAAACCTAATTTTCAAGGTGGAACAACAGCATAGCGTGGCCTTTTGTTTCTTTAGTGCCCAAACATATGAGTTTAAACTTTGATTCTTGGAAAAGATGCACTTTTGAATAGGACTGAAAGATACAACTGCGAAAGCCTAGGTATTATTTTTTTACAGCCTCCAAATTACAGCTCATTATTGCATGCATCAGCTCTTGAGTCTTTACCTCCACTGAGGTGTTCTAAAAAATGTGTCTGATCACGTTGAACTCCTCTATTAAATTTTCGGCTTAATCCATCAATAGCTTCAGCTAGATTTGCACTCACAAAACATCTTCAACTTTCTTTCGTTAGTGGTGGAATAAAGAGTTTGACATTGACTCGAAGCTGATTCTAACATATATTTTACTTGTCTAATTGAGTTATTTGGCACCTGCTATACGATAACCATTTAACATCGTAAGGATAGATAGGATAAGGGATAACAATAGCGTTGTGCCACCGAAGACTCTGCAATATATCCCACTACTTTGAGCGCCAAAGCTACAAGTCCCCGCGAAAGTATAAGCTAAACTGATTATGCAAAATGATTCGTTTAAGCCTAGAAGAAACTTGGTAAATAATTTGTGGATCAAACTGGATACTCGTTGGTGGGTTATTCTGTATAATATAGGTTGAAATTTTAGGGAAGATTCGCCTGACCTCCGCATTTACTTTACAGTCTACTCTTTACTTTGTGATGAGAGCCTTCATTTCATTTTTGAAAATAGCCAAATAATAGGATTATTTTGGCGTTGCTTAAAATACAATTCATCCGCTTAAAGTCAAAGTTTATGTGAACATTTATCTGTCAGGATGAGATATATAATATTGGTGAATGCCGTCAAAGATACTTAAAAATGTTCTCTGGTAATTTTGATTATTACTCAAATGTACTTGAGATATAAATAATTATCGAGAATCTTTTGCTTCACAATTCCAATATGTATAGTTGCTATTTTCTGCTTTCCAGAAGTGCAATTTTAATCTGATCTATTTTTATTATGTTAATAAGGGAGTCAAAGTTTGGTTTTGAATGGCTAGTGATTCATAATTCTTGTAAGCGTTCAAATGTTAACTTCTTACTTTTCTCTGAAAATGAATTTAACCGTTTAATCAAGCGACTGTGGCTAGATGCGCTTCTAGAAAATGTCCAGTGTGACAACGTTTAGAATCAAACTGACAAATGGCACAAGATGTACCCAACGTTGATGGATGATTGTTAATTCTGGCGCCATGAGTGTACAAAACAACAGTTACAGGTAAACTTGTTTCTTCTCTCTTCTTTTAAACCGAAAACTATATTTAGGAAGCATAAACTGAGTTCTTCGGAGATAACATGAAATTAAACTCCATGCAATTTGTAAGTGTTCAACTATAGAAGCTTCGCTCTTTTCTATTCTGGCATTATAAGTATCCCAGGGTTTTGTTGGTATGTTTATGGAAAGATGTTCAGAAGCAATTTTGCTTCCTGGGTACAGATTTCATTCCAGGCTCTGTGGAGGATTTCCATACCTACGTTTGCTGATAATTGATTCATGTAGATAGGTTGTTCTTCTTTTTCGTCACGTTTAGAAAATTGAAAGCCATTTTATGTTTTCTGCATGATTGGCTAT